TGCAGTAACGCGCTACGGCCATAACCCGACTTACAGCGTTTACCTAGCAAGTTAAGCTACGGTAGGTGCCAACGAGCATTCCGGTTAGATTCGGCTTCGATCAGTCGCCTATGTAATGGAAATATCTTCCACAATAGCTCGCCCACAGTGTCAACACACTGAGACGAAGGGTGTCCGGGAATTCGGAGAATTTCGTCTTAATTTTAGGATGGAGGATAAACTGCTCACGGTAGCTCACCCAGCAAGTTTCAGAGTGGAAATGCAGCTTTCCGACCTGAAGAGATTAGAGACGCGGCGTCGCGTCAAAATGGGCAGAATTTAGTCAAAAGTTAAACTCACACGTTCGCTCCGAAGGCGAAGATGGGATAAATCAAAATACTGTCTGTAATTTGTGGACAATTTGAGATCGGAGATCTTCCACCGGCAAGTTTCCACCAGGACGTCTCCCGGAAGAGTGACTTCAGCGGAATAATTTCCGTTTTTTTTTCAAAATAAGACATCAAAGTGAAACACAGAGAAAAGCTTTGTTTGTAGCTTTTAGATGTCCGGAATCAGATATATCGCAGATATAGAAGTCTGGATACGCTCGCCATATTTGTAAAGAAATTTTGCTGGCTTAGCCATATTGTAAAGAAAATTGGCTGGCTCAGCCATATTGTAAGGAGAAACTGTCTTTACTCAGTTATATTGTTAAGAAGACTCAAAGGTTGTTTTCATCGATAAACTGACGATAATATCTGTTTGTCTGTGTTTCAGTTCAATGAGGAAACCAGTTTGACAATTAAAAGTTTTAATTCTTCAAATTAAACTAATGATTTTGAAATTGACAAACAGGAAATAACAATCAACATTGGCAACTTGTGGGACAATCTTCAACAGTTGATATGCTGTTCTTGCTCAAATAGACCTTCTGTTGGTGAATGAAGATTGAGAGTAATAGGATGTGGTTATGGATGCGTGTGTGTGCAAAGTGTCGTGAGAATTGAACATGAGGTGAGATGAATGCGTGTGTGCATCTGATTTTGCTTCAGGAAGAAACAGGTGTCTGAGTGAAAAGTGATGGTTTGAATAAACTTATGTTTAGTTGGAAAAGATGCATCAAAACGCTATCTGTCGTGTTTTGCCTCACCGAAAATCGGACCCTCTGTTGGACCCGGGACGTCACCTTAGGATGATGTTTCATCCAGGGCACCTTGGCTGGCAAAAAAGACAAAGATGCGCCGCGAACCGGTCCAGAGTTGCCCTCGGTACACGTTGATGGTAAAGCGTTTTGTCGATGCGCTTTCTTAAGTTAATTCACTCAGAAATCAAAGACTCTGTATGAGTCTGCGTTAGAAGTTGCGATTCAGCTATTCTGTCTGGCTGACAGGAACAGCGTGAGGGGGGGAGAAACGAGCCAACCGGCTCCCCCCTTTTAGCGGTTGTTCACATGTCCTCTCTCTTTCGTTGTCAAGCACGAACTAAAATTCATCAGACTGAAACTTACCAAAAACCTTTCTCCTCTCAAAGCAAACGTGTGCGTCATCAAATGTGTTTTGGAGTTTACTGTGAGAATCTGTGTGTGGGTGTGTATGAGTGTTTGTGTGCTTGAGTGTGTGTGAAGGTCAGTAACAAACATCCTCAACATTATCATTTAATTAACAATGGATTAATTAAATCTCTTATAATTACCCAAAGCATAAGAATCCTTCATTTGATTAAACACATTTATAATGAGCAAAATGATAATGGTTACTTTAACATTAAAATCAAGAAACAAAGTTTTAAGACTTGTTATGTTATGACTACTTTTATGGGAACAACATCTTCTGTGGGAACAACATCTTCTGGCACGAAGCTGCAGGTGGCAGATGTCATGGTTTCCTCCCAGACTCGCTGGCGTTCAGGTCTTAATCTGTGGGTGAAAGTTCTCAACGACCCAGCTTTGACCCAGCTGAGTCCAACACCACTTTTGTGACAGAAAACCCACACTTCCTCACGTTACATCTTTGTGCTTAAAATTGTGTATTTTTGTCAATAATTTCTAATTTAGCTTTACGTTATTTGCTCATTAACTCTTCTTCTGTGGATGCCTCTAAAGACTTAAAGATTTCTTCTAACTCCTGAATATGTTTATTTTCAGTTTTTTTTTCTTATGTGATGAGAAAGAGATTATTTTACCTCTCATCACTGCCTTTCCTGCCTCCCAGAGAACAGATGCTGATGTTCCAGGCAGGTCATTATGTTCTAAATATAAAGCCCACTCCTTTTTAAAAAAAATCAATAAAACCTTCGTCTTTAAGCAGTGATGTATTAAACCTCCAGTTTTTCTTTGCTGGGATTGTCTTCTTGTTTACCAGAGTTTAAGAAACCAGAGGATGGTCGCTGACAGCTATGGGGTGTATCTCAGTCTCTGAAATGTCAGCCAACAATGAGCTGCTGACTAGAAAATAATCCAAACGTGAATGAGAGTGATGGACGTGTGAGAAAAAAGTATACTCTCTACGGTTAGGATGAAGAGATCGCCATGCATCACAAAGCCCATAATCACTCATGTACTGTTTAACTTTATTAGTGGATTGCCAATTGCGCTGAGTCCCAGCTGTACTGAGCCTGTCTGTTGAAGTGTCCATCCAAAAATTAAAATCACCTCCAAGTATAAGTGGACAGTCCAAGTGTTCGGAGAGTACAGTGAAAAAATTATGAAAGAATGGAGGGTCATCAACATTTGGACAGTATATGCTGATGATAAATAAGCTTTGGTTCTGTATAGATATTTGTAACATTATAAATTACCCTCTGGATCTGAAATTGTGTCCAATATCATGAAATTGATGTTTTTGTGTATTAAAATAGCTACACCCCTTTGCCTAGAGTTATAGCAGGCAGAGAACATGCTGGGAAACTCAGATGTTTTAAGCTCATCTGCAGATGTGGCAGATCTATGAGTCTCTTGTAACAATATTACGTCTGCTTGCACTCTCTTTAGCTGATCAAAATTTTTTTATCTCCTCTCTGGAGCTAGCTCCATGTACGTTCCATGAGACAAACCTTAGTGCACCCATAGATGTGTGTGTGTGAGTAGCTATAATATGACGCCTTCATGTGTAAGAGATAAAATAAGTAATTAAACGCATACATTAATCTTATAGTAAATAATAGAGAGGGTATTATTATAATCATTATTATAATTTGCAACATTAATAAAAAATAATAAAGTAGCAAAAATAATATTTTTTTTCAAATTATTTGTTATATAATATTAATATAAAATATTAATGCTGATAATGATGAAGTATAAATGAATTGAAATAATAATAATAATAATAATAATAATAATAATAATAATAATAATAATTAGAACTGCGAGCAGTTATCAACGGGTTCAAGCCATCCAGCGCCAGTCGCCCACCCGGCCCCATCCTCACCTTCGCCACTCCTTACGCGGTCCCGCCCCAAAAACACGTTCTCCCGCCGGCGTCCCATCAGCTCACTTCAACCGGCGCAATGAAAGTAACAGGATACGTCATTAAACCTCTTGCACAGCCATACACATATCTTTCAGAGGCATGGCTGACTTCTCAATCGTGATTACAATGGAATTCCACCATTTCCTGTTTAAAGAACGTGAACATTTAATGAGTGAAGTAATGAGAAAAGAACGTGAACATTTAATGAGTGAAGTAATGAGAAATCAGGTTTTATTATATTATTGATCCTAAATTAAATGCTTTTTCAAAAAATAAATATATTGAGATGTACAATTAAGCTGACCGAAACAAAAACTTCATTATAAAATGCATATTTGATCTAAAGATTACCAAACAATAATCTATACATCAAGAGTATATTAGGAATAACATAAATACTTGATTATGTCCATAGATTTAAAAGATTTTCAACCAAATCTATGAGTTTCATTTTGTGACTTACCCCCAAATTCCACTACCTCCGCTCCGCTGCGCTCCGCTCTGACACGAACGCCGGAGCAAAATCGGTCCCGTTCTAGTCAATCAGAGCAATTCCACTACTGCGGCCGTGCTCCGGCAGTGCGGCGCCGTGCGCCGCCCTCTGTTCCGGCGTCCGGCAAAAATAGAATCGATCCTATTTTTGCCGGACGCCGGAGCACCTCCGCAGTAAATGGACAGAAATCACAAACGCCCAACAGGAAAAGGAGCGAGCACAACTTCCGTTTTTCACAATACATCGATAAACAAAAGGCGTTTTTTGTTTCATATGCACAGGTTTAACAACTTTTAACAACTATCAGTGGCGGCTGAAGTTTAAATGCACAAAAGTAAGCCATAAATACAGTTTCCACTATCAAAGTCGTCACACTTTGTTGATCCAAACACTGCTGATCTCTCAACACAAATGATGGGCAGATTAAACAGTTCATGCCGATGCTTCTCCCACACAACGGGTGTTTGGATCTAACTTCCGCGTTTATTGCTCGGACTGTATCGCAAGATCTCGAATATCTCGCGCATGCTTGTTTGCCCACCTCAGGTCTCCGGACCGGAGCGGAGCCGTTGTAGAGCGGGTACCAGTAAAAATTGAGTTCGGAAGCGAGCGGCTGCGGCAGGCGGGGGCTGACCGGAGCGGAGCGGAGGTAGTGGAATTTGGGGGTTACTCATCAAATGATTTTAAAAAATCCTGAAAAATCCATAGATCATCCTAAAATTACCAAAATATTCTCAGATGGCAATGTTAACAAGCGGAATAATATGATGTAGTTTTTAAATCAGTAGAGTCAAAGCTTTTTTGAAGAAAAATTGGTAAATAAATCTATAAGGGGCGTAGCCAAAATTAAAATATTCATAAAAAAAGTGCTACTTTTTAAAATTAGTAGAAAAATCTCAGATCACCATAGGCACATGTGGAATGTTATAAATGGTTTACATTTACTGTATACCTAAAAAAAATTCTAACAAAATGTTTTTACTTTTTTGTCCTGAATCTGTAAGCTACCATCAGAGGAACAGGAGCCGTCTCACTCCTGCTGTCTCTCTCTTCTCCAGGGACCTGAGGAATAATTTGATAAGTACCGTGGAGCCTGGAGCCTTCCGGGGCCTTCTGGCCTTGAGGAGACTGTAAGTACAATGACGCCTCGTAAAAAAACTAATGAGTGAAGACTTCTAACATTTTCAGCTCCCCGGCAGACCAATGGGACACTAAACATAAACACATATAGAAAACCAACACACACAGACCAATATTCATTATGGACATCAGAACATACACAAAATGTCAGTAATCAGAACATTATATCACCGAGCAAACATGATAAAAGAAGAAAGAGACCATAAACAAGAGGACAAACACATACAACATGCTTTAAAGACCTGCGGGTACCCGACATGGGCGAGAAACAAAGGAAAACAACAAACAACAACAGAAAGAAAAGAACAACCAAAGCAAAGAACCAGAAACCCAGAAAGACAAGAACCAAAACCAGTCATAACCTTACCATACATCAAAGGCGTAACAGAAAAAATAAGAGCAACAATGAAAAAACACAACATAAACACACCAACAAAACCATACACAACAGTTGGAAACAGACTAGTATAGCCAAAAGACAAGATACCAGCTGGACTTAAGTGTGGAGTCGTTTACGAAATCCCATGCAAACTCTGCAATAAAACATACATAGGAGAAACCGGACGCCAACTCAACACACGAACAATAGAACATAGAAAGGAATGTGAGAAAGAAGACACACAAGAGCAGCAAAACAAGAAGCAGAAAGCACAATAAAGAAGTCAGCGGTAACAAATCACTGCACAAGAGAAAACCATATAATGGACGGGGACAACATAAGGATCATAAACACCAAACAACAGAAATACAAAAGATGGATAAAGGAAGCCATAGAGATAAGGAGATGTGGATGTGAGACCATGAACAGAGATGATGGAGTTTACTCATTGGATCGTGCATGGGACTGCATCCTGGGAGAGGGGAGGGCGGGCAGCAGAGGGCAACAACGTTCTCTACTGCCCACGGATAAATGGAGTAGGAAGTGACGTCACCATCAGCGTCAGCTCTGAGGATGTTTGCAGCCGCTAATGACAAGTCAGCCAGGTAAAGATAAAACCTTTTCTGTGTTTAAACAAGAACCAAAAACGGAATTTTCAGCTCCCGTTTGTCATTTCGTTGATGAACCAGCTGCATGAATCAGCATTTAATGACCATTCAGTTCTGCTCCTGACCATGTCTGGTCCATCTTTATGGACGTCAGTGGGGACGAGGACTGGTTCAAGTAACCAGTCAGGATGAGCAAAAATATAAACATAATAAAACTGCTTAAACATGAATATTAGGTGAAAACAAATAAATTCCCCAAATCCTCTGAAACAGCAGTAAATAAAAAAACAGGTTTGGGTTTTAAATGACTCTATTTTCCACTCACCGTTACAAATGTTTCCACTGAACCACAGAACAGTTTTGCCGTCTGTCTTGTTTATAAATGTTTGTTTTTATCTGTTTTACTTGTTTGCTGGGTTTCAGATTTTTAAAAGCTTCAGGCATCCTGTTAGAGTCCAGAGACACAGATGTGTGGATCGGACCTGATGCAATCTGAGCAGAACCAAACAGGACAGAAATCTGATGAGAGATGAAATCTGTTAGATCACAAATAATAAATAAGAATGTTTTCAGCCACCTGGTAGCAAAATTCCCATTGGCCTCTGGAATGGATTCCTACGTCTTCACAGAATTGAGTTCTGTGGAAAGGAGCTGCAGGCAGAAGGAGAGCGTTCACCTACTTTCAGGTTTAACATTGAGTTAGCGACAATGATCCAGTCTCCTCCGATGCAGAGTAACACAGTTCAGATGTTTTAGGGACCTCCTCCAGCAGCAGAAACCCTGATAAAGATCTGCTGCTGTGTTCTGACCCGCTTTGGTCCAATCAGCTGTCAGACAGGTGGGCTCACATCAGGAGCTCATGGAACCCAAACCATCAACACTCCACCTCTGTGCCGACAGCTGATTGAAGCTGTTCTCCTCTAGTGTTTATTTTTAAACATAACCCTGTGCTTAATGGATATGAGGACATTTTTCTCCAGAAGGATTCCTGTTTATTCAGATAAAGCTACAGTTAAAGAAGTGGTAATGCCCCCTCAGAGTCCTTCTCCACCCACGTATCAATTTTAAAAACTGCAACATTAGTAGGCATTGCCTGGAGGACCGAGAGGGCGGAGCCGCGGAGCCGCGGCAGTGACGAAGACGATGGGTAACGAGACGATGCTAGCTCCCTTCACTCTGAGCAGTTATTAGAAGTGGAGGACGTTTCTCCCCCTCCTTACTCAGATACTCGAGAAGAAAAGAACCAAGTCTATTTGGAGGAGACAAGCGGACCTGAGCCTTATTGTTTTGAGCTTGTGAGTTGCCTGAAACTACAGGAACCAACCCAACAGAACCAGCTCTGAATGGTAAGTAGCCGTTAGCCATAGCATCAGATTAGCTGCAGGGTTTTGCTCCACGGCCCTAGAGAGCTAGTATTCAGCATGTTTTTGAGGTTTATCTGCTTCAACACACCTGGTTTTAATCAGCAACAAATAGCTGAGCTGCTTAACAGCTAATCTAACCTGTTAAAGCAAGAAAACCACTGAAACCTGCTGGATAGCAGCTCTCCAGGAGCCCTGGGCTCAAGTTACAGTCTGCTGCATAGAAAGTTATGAAACTACCCCATGAGAAAATTATTCTGTAATGTGTTCAGCTCACTAAAACTGCCCTGATTTCATTATTTATTTACTGATACTAGCTGCTCTCTTGGTTGTAGGTGTGATCCTCTGGTGTCTGCAGCTGGTCTCCTGCTGGTGTTGTCAGGATCAGGAGCTTCCAGAAGAATGTGCCTTTCAATGACTCTTTCCCCCTTATTTGTTATATTAATTAAATAAATCTTAATTGATATATTTCCTGTTTTTGTTCATGTCCATAAATACTTAAACATGCTTGAAATTAAAACGAGCTTTTAACAGCTCACCTCAGTGCTAGTTTAATTAATCACAATAGAGCTAGTTAAACATGCAACAATGTGATAATTCAATTAATGTAATTTATAAATATCCATTAAAATATCAAAACTGGAATCAAAATGAGATATTTGGCAGCACAAAAAACTTGTCAAACACAATATTTATTATAATAATTGTAGGCAGACAGGAGACAGAGATGATGGAGGTTCTCAGTCATCGAAGGATGGCTGAAGGCTTTCCAGGAACAGGAGATGTGGTGTTGTCTCTCTCTCTATTCCACCAGATGAGCTGATAGGTTACAGGTGTGTGAGGACATCCTCATGCTGTCATAACCAGATGACATGAGTTATCAGGTGATCAGCCAGGCTAATAATGAGATGCAGAAAGAAAACAAATCCAGGACAGTGTACAGTAATAATAATAATCTGTGGTGTTGCTCACCTTATGTGCTCTTATAGAGTATTAACGTGTGCCTGCCTCATGGTGTAGTCCATATTTTGCTGAGTGTCCTGCAATAATGCAGGTTATTTACTTTTGATAGCAAAGAACAAAATATTTAATGTAAAAGTTATTCACCAGGTGAATCAGCTCACACGTCACCACCAAGTGTCACAGGGCCAGAATCAGTAGCCTCCTTCATGATGTCATGATGTAATCACATACTTATTTAATTGTTAATATCTTAAAAATTCTGAAATGTTTTAATTTTTTTTTACCTTGAACAGTTCACTGAGCTTGCACTGTCACTGAGGTGGAAGCTGAAATCAACAGCAGACACCTCACATCTTGGTCTTTTCAGGGGTGTGGACGCTGCTCTGGGACTTTCTGGAAGATGAATTTCCATCATGGTCCATGTGTCACAAGACACACTGCGGCTGTGAGCTTTATTCTGGGTGGCTATGTAAAAAACAAAGAACCAGCACATTTATAAATGTTTAAAAGAGCATAAAATCACGTGTAACAATAATCTGTAAAACAAATTAAAACTAGAAGGTAATAATAAAATGTTTACATAGAAGATTATTAAAAATAATTCAACTTTGCTATGGGTAAGGCTTCACGTCAGCCTGGACAAATGCATTCTTGCAGACTACAAAATCAGTCTGACAGCCAATGTCTTGGGCAGATTTAGCCTGAAAAAAAAAATAGAAGCACATTGTTGTTGTTTATAAAGTCAGATAATATACAAAAGAAACTGTCCTATATAGGCGCTTTATAACATTCCTAGTGTGTGATCGTTATCCTAACGTAAAAGTCAGTCACATGATGTGAAGAGCCTGAAATGCGACCTCCTGAACAGAATTCCTCACGGAACCGGGTCACAAGCTGGATTTCACGCTGTAATGCTGTCTGTCAGCTAGTGCTGCGTTAGTTAGAGTCACTGTTGCAGAATTACTGACTGACACAAAAGCAACCCAAATTTTCTCCGAGCCTGACAGTAATAGTCATGTGGACTGTTTTGTCGGCCAGGGCTGCGAGATATGTTCCGATTTGCCACTGATTCTAACCTTACATCCCGTTCCACATTTTGTGAACTTTACAACTCAGCCCAAAGGCAATGCAGGCTGATATTAGCTAAAGGAAGTGAACCACGTCTCTCAAACTTTGCATTTAGGTAGAGAATTGTCTGTAGAAGATGTTAAAACTTTTATTTAGCTTACTCACCTCAGACTGGAGCCGGCCATGGTGGGGGAGCAGAGTCAGTGGGCTGCATCTAAATTGCGGAAGAGCCACGGTGGGCACAGCCTCCCTCTTCAAATGGAGACGTGCAGAATTGCGGGTAAAATGCTGGTTGCAAACTACAGCACCAGGCGGGAGCTGAATGTTTTCCAGACACCGATTGCGCGCAACCATTGGCGCCTAATTTCTAAGTCCAGTGGAAAGGAGTGCAACCCCACAGAGCCACGGCAACCACACTACACTATACCATCTCACCATGCTAACATGATATGGAGCACTAAACCTGAACTATTTTCCTAATTACACTAACAGCCAAACACTAACTAAACTACAATATCCAACAGCCAAGCTAACACTAAATAAGTATGTATAACACTAAAAGCTATGCTAAAGATTAGGATATGCTAATACTATATGCTAATGCTGAACTACGACTAACCTCCTACACTCGCTTGCAAATCCAACTCCCAACTCGCCACAAGGCGTGGCCGTGACTCTCAATGCTTTTATAACTTTGACACAGAGCTGCTACGTAGTACTCTACTGGTTTACGTAGTATCTTACTCTTTAGCCACTGGCTAAAGTGTATTCAAAATGACTCAAACTCTATGTTTTAAGCTGAAGGTGGCGCTATACTGTGGTATTTAGGCAGGATTTTTAATTTTTAAAGAAAATGCACCAAAATGCTAAAATAATGAATACACACATTTAAAACACAATTAGACACTCATTTATACAGTTCATCAGCAAAAAAAAAAGTTAATTTAGACGTTACTTGCTCTTTAACATGTTTTATTACACCAAGACATTTATTTTCATATGCACTTTCTACATCACTGTCATCACGGCCACTTACAGCATGATTTTAGTTTATTTAAATTCAATGATAATTTATCCAAATGAAACCAGTATTTAGGTGTACTTGTTTCTGATGTAACCAGGTCCAAAGGTTCCCACAAATACCACACACTGTAATGCTTTGGAAAACTTACACGAGTCATTGCTGTACACTAGAAATAGCTCTGTGCCCAAACCAGAGCCCTGTGGTACTCCCCTAGAGACGTCCAACCACGCTGCCCTCAGTCATTTCTCTGTGCTAGTAGATCACATACATTCGTCTCTTGAGGTTTGGCCTGAATGGTGGTAGAAGTGATGGAAAGCCTTTGGTGCAAAGCTGTGGGGCAGAACATCAACTTAGGCCTTGTCCACACGTAGCCGGGTTTTTTTTTAAAACGAATATCCGCCCCTCCAAAAACGTGCATCCACACCACCTCGTTTAAAAAAAAAACTGTCCACACGTACCCGGATAAATACGTTGTTAAGGACATGCCAGACCTGTAGGCGGCAGTACTTCCCCCGAATTGTATCCAGTCAGCGTAACTTTTCGTGTTCCTGCTTACATTCAACCAAAAAATTCCGCTTGCAAAAACAAACAAGCAAAAAGCGCTTTGACAATTGATAAAGCGAGCGCAGCTCTGAGGGCATCCATGCTGTCGGCTAGTGTAAACACAGGTCGCACACATGATGTCAGCATTTTTTGTCGCGGAAAGTGACGCTGCGGACCTTAAAACTCCGGTTTTGTCCGTCCACACGCAGACACCCTAAACGGAGAAAACGCAGATCTTCACTTTGGCCAGAGTTTTTTAAAAGATCCGTTTTCGTGTGAAAAAACTCCATTTTCGTGTGGATGACAGGCCAAAACGTAGAAAAATATCTACGTTTTGGCAGATCCCCGGCTACGTGTGGACAGGGCCTTAGTGGGCCTTTCCTCTATGCTGCTTTTCCTGATGACTGCTTGTTCAACACAAAGGGTAGAAGGAGGGAGTGACATGGTTAGTGGATCTGGACTGGTAGGGATGTAAACGGAAAGCTAACCGTATTGATTGTGGGCACGTGTGCGCGGGCCTCGGGGGGAAGCAAAAAACTAATTTAAGTGCTCCCCAGCTGGTGATTGTTTGAGTGCTCTGCCTATTTTCCCACAGCTGCTCCAGCCTTGCAGCTCTTTAATTACAGTGTGTGTGTGTGTGTGTGTGTGTGTGTGTGCATGTGTATGGACACAGCAACGCTCTGCTAGATGTGTTTGTGTTTATAGCAGTTGTCATGTGAGGGCTAGCGTTGGACTGAACCGAGTTTCTAGCAGCATTAAAGCTGTTCTAGAAGCCCACTGATGTTTGCGGCGAAAGGCTTGTGATGCGTGTGACTTAGAACACGTTGCGCTATCTCAGGGCGACCATGTTTAAGGCCCTGCCCTGCTGGTGACATCACACTATGGCAACGCCACCCAGACCAACTACATCGAGCTCCACTTTTAACAACCTGATCAGTGAAATCAGAATCAAACTCCACCAACAAGTGAACAAGTGACCTTTTACATGCATTAATAACTGCATGATTAATAATTGCATGATAACGCACAGCCCCATATTGCAAGGATCTGTAAACAATTCCTGGAAGCTGAAAGCATCCCAGATTTCAGAACAATATCTTTTGTACATGTAGACACATCTCCAGATGTTTGAGTTCAGCTCATGAAAAATGGAGCAAAAACAAAAGTGTTGCGTTCATATTGTTGTGTATTGTAAGTAACACACCCTGGCTGTTGGAGTAAGTGGTGAATCCGTCTGAGCGCTGCCCGGATGCCCTGCGGTGCAAGTGAGTGCATCTGGGAAAACCAGGAAGTGGAGTCGCCCCACCTTATTAGCACGTAGCTCGTGTTTTCTAACAAAGCGACAGCTTCTGGTGTTTGGATGTGATCACTTTTGTTGTTTGTTTGAATGTGAAAAATAGTTAAAACATGTCAATCTGACATTTGCATGAATCCACATTTCTCACAGGGATCTGTCCAACAACAGGATTGGCTGTCTCTCTCCTGAGATGTTTGTTGGTCTGAGCAGGCTCTCAAAGCTGTGAGTATTTGGTTCCTGCACATCCGTTGGCTCATCTGTTTTATCAGCTGATGGTGTCTCTTCTGATCTAGTTTTGGGAGTTTTAAGTCAAACAAGTGTGTTTGTTTTATTTTCCACCAATAGGAATTTATCTGGAAACATCTTCTCCACTCTGACTGCCCAACTCTTCACTCACCTATCGGCTCTTAAATATCTGTAAGACAAGCCAGCAGCAGTCCTTTAAATCTGCTTGTTGTGTAGTAATCGGTGTGTTCTCACCAGGCACTTCGGCACTGAGACGCTGGTCTGTGACTGTCAGCTGAGGGGGCTCTTCCTGTGGGCCCAACACAACTCCATCAGAGTTGGTACCGGCACGCTCTGCGCTTTCCCGACTCACCTCCACGGATCCGAGTTTCACAGACTCCAGGAGCAGCAGCTCAGATGTGGTGAGAGCTTCAAACTTAGCTATAAATGTAAAACAATATCAGCGAAACGCTCTTTTCTTTGGGACGCTGATTTGTTGGAGCTGCACGCTAACATTTAACCCTTTATTTGTACAAATATAGACCATTCTGCTCTTAGTTAAAGTGCATGCCTTAACTGAACATGTTTGATGTAAGAGATAAAAAGTTCTGTTTTACCTCCACGGTGATTCTGCCTGATCAGCACATACAGGAACAGGTTAATCTGGCTGTGACGAGAGGTTCCTGATCCTGTGGGTATCTCTCCACCTGCTGGAAAAAGGACCGGCGAGCTAGATTTAAATGCTGATTTGGTCCAAAGCCCCGGTGGGTCTGGGTGGACTCCTTCCACCGGCCCGCTACAGCAGCAAATGCATAAAAAGAGTTTGTGCCACCTGCATAGTCGGGTCTAATCCAGATGTGTTTTATGCTGTAGGGATTATGAGTATAAGCTCTTGAAACGCATTTGATTGGCTTGTCAGATTGTTGACTGAACCCGCTGGTTAGAGACGCCGTGCTCGTCCCATCAAACAAAGTCGATGATTTGCTGGTTTCATGGCGGGATTTCTCCAACAGCCACAAACAATTTTGTAAATGACGAGGCTCGACTAAACTCCAGAGAATAATTTTAAGCCGCGGAGGAGACGTCTCATGTGGTCTACGACTGCTCTCATTACTCTGTAGAAACGTGGAGAATCTGTAGGAAATTCTGTGCAGCGACAGCTGTTATCTGTAGTCATCTGGGAAGCAACAAGGAGAAAACGGAGATGCTGTGAGATGCTCCGTGGTGAAGAGCACCGTGGAGTGGAAATACTAAAAAATTAGGAACGATGAACACACACACACACACACACACACACACACGCACGTACGCACACGCACATAGACACACACGCACGAGCACGCACGCGCTCACGCTTGCACACGCACACACACACACACACACACACACACACACACACATCTCTTCATCTCGTGCTGCAGAGGAATTCTATTATATGTGTCAGAGTCATGCTCCCCTTCTCCTTCTGTCTGCATCATGCATCAGGATGAGAACGTGTGCTCGTGTGCTCGATGCGGCACAGAAAACAAATTAGGAGAAGAGTGCATGTACATGCCCCCCTCCCAGGTTGTGGTTCTGCACAAGAAGAAGTCATCACAAAAAAACCTTCCACAACAATCCGAGCCACAGACATTCTGGGTGAGCTGTAGGATTACGGCCATAACGTTACGGGCTGCTTGCAGACTGTAGCTTCCACAAATGCTCCACTTGATTTTACTGGTCTTTACTCATCTCCATGGCAACAGGTTGTTTCATGTCTTCTCCTGGACAACGCTCTTTAGACTGGAGGTCCCAAGGGTTGGACCGCGGCCCAAATGTGGGTCATATAACACAGAGCTAAAGCTTCTGAGAAGATGTCCATGAATAAAAATCTAAATTTTTTTCTGTGGTTCTGCTCACAAATACAAGAAGTTAGTTTAGAGATTGTTCATTCTGTTCGTGTGTGTGTGTGTGTGTGTGTGTGTGTGTGTGTGTGTGTGTGTGTGTGTGTGTGTGTGTGTGTGCGTGTGTGCGTGTGTGTGTGTGTGTGTGTGTGTGTGTGTGTGTGTGTGTGCGTGTGCGCACTCTCTGGCTTCTCCATCCCCAGTGAGTCATGGTGGATGGCTGCTTATACTGAGCCTGGATCCTCTGGAGGTTTCTTCCTGTTAAAAAGGAGTTTTCCTCTCCACTGTCGCTGCATGCTTGCTTACTTTGAGGATTGCTGTAAAGTCTTCTCAAGGACCTTCACACAGTAAACATGCCAACACAGGTCATGTCACTAATTACTAACAAGTTTCCTATATAAGGAACCCAGCAGGTTGCATCGAGTCACTGACTAGTGTCAGAGTCTTTACAGCAGTCCTCATACTAAGTAAGCATGCACCGTTCTCAGTGGTCCTCGGCCATCCATATCCATCCGCAGCAGTCCAGTCTGTGTAGGGTTAGCAGAACGTCAGCTCATGGAAAGAAGAACTGACTCATGTTGCTTTTTAGATTTTGTTGGAGTGGTGGAGACTTTGTCAGTATTCATCTTTTTTTTTTGGACATTTCTGTATAGATGGTTTTAACTATTAATGTTATGCTGTAAGTATTTTTAAAATAATCACTGCAGATACTTCTGTTTTTCTGCAGCAGCTCGGGTTCGTCTGCCCTAAACATCTCATCTATGAGCCCTTTCCCTTCACATGATGCAGGTCAGGTTCTGACTGCATATGAGCAGGGACGTAGAAGCGTGATCTGCTTCCTGACAGATCAAGAGTTTCCTGTGTTGAGTCTCTAGTCACCTGTTTGACTCATCGGACCAGACCATCAGGAGAGCCTCAGCATGACTGCTCTCACATGGTGACACAGTTCATCTTCTTACGTTGATCAATGCTTCATGCAGAGTAAAGTGAGGCTGGTTACACAACAAACCAGCAACAGTTTTCAGAGGAAACGGGTCTGTTCTAACGTCCAGCACTACTAGACTGTCATATCATGTGGCTCCAGTGAGGAAACAGGAGCATGATCCAGGACATTCTTCTTAAAGGAGTTTGGTGCCTTCTTGTCCTCTATTATAAAGTTGGAAACTGTTTTAATCCTCTGGAATTTTCATCTTCATGTTGACGACAGCTCATCTTGCCCTGCATTGGAACTTTTATCATTGATTGAAGCTTTTATGTTTATGTTTATGTATTTAGCAGACACTTTTGTCCAAAGCGACTTACAAGTGATAATTGGCATGTTGCCCTTGAGGCTAACAACAATAACAATAACAACAACAAACAGTTTCCAGTCAGTTGTAGGTGGCAGTGAGGCAGCATGATGAATCATGGAGAGGATGGAACAAGGACTGGACAGTAGAGAGGGGGACGGGTGCAGGGAGAAGATGCTCTCTGAAGAGCAGGGTCTTCAGGAGTTTCTTGAAAGTCGAAAAGGAAGCCGCTGTTCTTGTAGTGCTTGGTAGGTCATTCCACATCTGTGGAACAATAGTTTTGAGCAGCATGTTTCTGAACCTCCATTAGAAAGTGTTTTCATGCTTAGCCTCGATCGTAGTCCACTGCCTGAGTCTGCCGTCCGGCAGGTTTCTTCTGCCAGGAATGCTGTGCTCCTCCATACCAAAACAATTCCTGTTTAACTCCTGGAGACTTCATCAAAATAACCTCTCATGTTGACATGGCGCTGCACCTCAAGGCGTTCCGCTCAAGATGAGACTCCTTTCTTTATTAAATGGTTCTTTTTGGTCTCATAAATGATTTCCTAACTTAACAAGATCTTTACAATGAATGTTTTATCTAAAGTCTACTAATAATACTCCATGAGTTAGTGGACATAAAGAAATGGCTAAATGACAACTCCTTGACGCTAAACGGGGTTGTCGCCCATGCTCATTAAACAGTACCTGGGTGATTTAGGCCTCTCTGTGAAGTCCAGCTCTAGAAACCTGGGAGTCATCTTTGGCACTGAGATGTCATGTGCAGCACTGTAAACTGCTCCTTTCAACTCAGGAACATTTCCAAATGTAAAACAATGGTCTCTAGAAATGATTTGGAGCTCCTCGTTCATGCTTTTGGATTATTGTAACAGTTTGTTTCAAGTCCGAACACCAAGGAGCTCCATTGTCTGCAATTAGTGCAGAACTCTGCAGCGAGAATCGTGACTTTCACAATAGGAAGACACACACTTGCCCTATGTTTAAACAACTTCATTGGTTGCCTGTGTCGTTTATATAAGTTTAAGGTTCTGGTTTTCAGAGCCCTGCATGGACAGACTCTTACTTTAGTGATCTGATCCCCCTACACCCATGCGTGGGCTCTTAGATTTGGGGATCAAAACTAGCAGAAAATCCCTCGTACTTATATTTTGAACCCACCACCCGCAGGAGGAACATGAATCTGGTCTGGGAACGCCTTTGGGTCCTGCCGGAGTAGCTGGTGGAGGTGGCCGGGGAGAGGACGGTCTGGAGCTCCCTAGTTGGGATGCTGCCCCCGCGACCCGTACCCAGATAAGCGGAGGAAGACGACGACAACGACTTATTTTTGCACTAGAGGTGACGATCCTTCGAAGCTGTGGCTATAGACTTTGTAACAATCTACCCCCCCCGTGTTTAAGTCTGTCGACATTTTCAAGAGTGTGCTTAAGACTCGTTTATTTTTTCAGGCATTCAACTGCTTATCTGTGGGTAGTTATGATTTCGTGTGGTTTTGGCCTTTTAAGCTATGTTTGATTACTATACTATATTATGTTATACCATACCATACCATACTATACTATACTATACTATACTATACTATACCATACCATACCATACCATACCATACCATACTATACTATACCATGCTATACTATACTATACTATACTATACTATACTATACTATACTATACTATACTATACTACACTACACTATACTATGTTATACAATACTATACTATACTTTGCTATACTGTACTATACCATACTATACACTATACCATACTCTATTATACTATGCTATGCTATACTATACTATACTATACTATTTTACACTATACTACACTACACTACACTACACTACACTACACTATAATTCAATTCAATTTTATTTATATAGCGCCAAATCACGACAAGAGTTGTCTCAAGGCACTTCACATAATAAACATTCTATCCAGGTCAGTTCATTAAGCCATTCAGAAAAAAAATGTTTCCTCTATAAGGAACCCAGCAAATTCCATAAAGTCACTGACTAGTGTCAGTGACTTTACAGCAATCCTCATACTAAGCAAGCATGTAGCGACAGTGGAGAGGAAAACTCCCTTTTAACAGGAAGAAACCTCCAGAGAATCCTGGCTCAGTATAAGCAGCCATCCACCACGACTCACTGGGGATCGAGAAGGCAGAGTGCGCGCACACACACACACACACACACACACACACACACACACACACACACACACACACACACACACACACACACACACACACACACACACACACACACACACACACACACACATCAAGTAGTGTTTCTATGGTTGCATTGTGATTTCTTAGTATATATTCTATTTGACGAGAGATGAACTTTATTGTATTTATCCTAGTGAATCTATAATTAAACGGGTAAACTGTACCCAGGTATACTATACTATGTTTTACTATACCATACTAAGTTATACTATACCATACTATACTATACTATGGTATATTGGCCTTTTAAACTATGTTTTATTTCTCTGTTTTTATTACACATTTTTACTGTTTTTTATTTACTGTGTTGTGAAACACCTTATGGCTGTTGCCTGTCAAAGGTGCTATACAAATAAAGATGACTTACTTATTTTGTGATTTCTCGAATAAACATTTATCATACTGGTCTCTGCCCAGTGGGAGTGAAGCCTTAGCTGTCGCACGCCCATCAGGCATGAAAAGTGAAGCCAATGTATTTTCTTAGTAACACCCAGGTCCCATTGCATGTCAACAAAGTCATATCTGAGGTTAAAACGAGTTTAGTCAGAGGTGCTAGTAGGCTAAGGTTTGGACACATCATGTCTTCATCATTTGGTTTTGACATACAAAGGTTTAAATGGTCTTCGTCCTAGCTATTTATCTGAACTTCTCGTGCCTTATGTCCCATCTCGTGGATTAAGCTCAGCTGACCAGTGTTGATTGAGTGTAGCTAGGGCAAGACTGCAGAGAAGAGGTTTTAGGTCTTTCTCAGTGGCTGCACCTACCTTGTGGAATATGGTGCCCATCTCCATTAGGCAAGCGTCATCTGTTGCCATTCTTAAAAAGTTACTAAAGACTTATTTATCCATCAGCATCCGTCCATCTCAGGAGACAATGGCGTAGCTTCTTGTGAGTCTACCTCACCGCTGAGAGTGGCTAAGCAGACCGACTCAGGAGTGGCAGTCCCTGCCGCTCTTGGTACAATAGAAGGATGGCTGTTGTAGCTGCATTTGCCACTGCTTCTGCCTGGATCTGTTCTGAGAAGCATTCTCATTGCGCTCAGCCTCTGCACAGACTGTACCCTGTCTGACTGCTAGTCTCCAGGCTGGGCAGGCATCCGCTTGACTTTCCCATGAGTGGTGTCCTTCTTGCAGACGTCTTTGAATCGCAGTTTTGGGCTTCCTGTTGTCCTTTGGCCTTTGACCAGCTCGCCGTACAGGAGGTCTTTGGGAATACAGCCTGCGTCCATTCTCCTGACATGGCCGAGCCACCTGAGACGTCTCTCACTGAGAACTGCTTGCATGCCGCTTAAGTTGGCTCACTTCAGCGCCTTGGTGTTGGGAACCATTTCCTGCCACTTGATCTGCAGGATGCGCTGCAGGCATCTCATGTGGAAGCTATTGAGTTTCCTTTCGTGCCTCGCATTGGTGGTCCATGTCTCGCTATTATAGAGGAGAGTGCTGAGTATGCAGGCTTGGTAGACGTGCAGTCTGGTCTTCTCATTGAGGCTGGAGTTGTTCCATACTCGCTGGTTCAGTTTAGCCATGACTGTGGCTGCCTTGGTGATCCTGCTGTTGATCTTCGAATCAATGGACAGTAAACTGGAGATGGTGGACCCAAGGTAGGTGAAGTTATTGAAAACCTCCAGGGTGCATCCAATGGCGATATTTAGAGGGGTCTCTGTGCCCTGAGCCACGACATTGGTCTTCTTTAGGATGATTGTCAGCCCAAGCTCCTTGCAGGCGTGGGAGAGGCAGGTGGCAAGCTGCTGAAGTCTTTCTTCAGTGTGTGATGTCAAAGTTGCATCGTCAGCGAAGAGCATCTCACGGATGAGTATCTCTATGACTTTGGTTTTGGCACGGAGACGGACTGTGTTCTAAAGCTTGCCAACAAGCTTGGTGTGGATGTAGACACCCTCACTGCAGTGCCTGAAGGCATATTGGAGGAGAATGGAGAAGAAGATGCTGAAGAGTGTAGGCACGAGGACGCAGCCCTGCTTTACACTGCTGCTGACTGGGAAGGCCTTGGAGGTTGCGCCGTTGTAGCAAACCATGCTGTGTGTGTCATCATGTTTCCTGTCGCTCCCAGGTGCTTTCCTTCAGGAAAGGCAGTCGATGGCTTTGCTGAGCTCTTCCACAGTGGGTGGAATTATTAATACTCGACAGCTTTTAATACTCCTAGTTGACTTTGTTGTCCTGCTTTTTACCATTTTTTCTATCTGATTTTTAACATATTGTTTTTTATGTATTTATTGTGTTTTTACTTGACTGCTTATATGTTTCTGTATTTATACGTCAGTGTTCAGGACTTTGGGCAAAAAGGTTGCATTTACAATGAAACCTGATTTGATTTGATTTGTTTGTAATATCTCTGATGCCAGGTGGATGATTTAGACCCTCATGTCCATAAATAATATGGAAGGTTCTCAGATGTTTTAGCACTTTTATTCAACTTACAATGCTCTGTGTCTTTTTCCTATTGTTACCTTTACAGATGACTTTGTTAGGGTTAAGTTTATATTACCGTCACTGATCATTTTCAGGGCCTGAAATGTTATCTTCTACATTTGGAGACAAAACGATAAAAAAGCAAAGGATAAAAAAGCCCAGAAGGCTGCAGCCTTTTATCAGCAGCTATTTGTCTCTCCCCATGAACAGCATGTAGCACGAGCATGTGACCATGACGCTACGTGCTTAATTATATCTGCATCTTCTTGGTATGCTGAGGGTGTTCCTGAAGTTTTTCTGATTTCATAGAAACGCAGAGCAGTTTCTACTCCAATGTTCAGGTAAGTTAGTGTAGCAGCTAAGGCTGTGCTATAGCTGCTACAATGCCCAGCCCAATAACATAGACCACACTCTCTAATAATCAGTTGGACCTCCTTTAACTTTGAATACGACACACATTCGCTGCCGCGTTGTTTCCTTAAGCTTCACCAGATTTATCTCCATCCAGTGTTGCATTAATGTCTCACCAAGATCTTCCATTGATGATGGTAGTCTGACTGTTACACAAAGCTTTTTCCAGGACATCCAAGAGATGGGCTTAAGGTCTGGACTCTGTGGTGGCCAACCCAAGTGTGAAGATGATGTCTCATGCTCCCTGAACCACTCTTTCACTATCTGAGCCTGATGAATCCTGACATTGTCATCTTGGAATATGGCCGTGCCATCAGGGAAGATGGAGTAACTTGGTCATTCAGGATATTCAGGCAGTCAGCTGACTTCATTCTTGGAGCACATCCTGTTGCTGAACCTAGACCTGACTACCTGCAGCAAGCCCAGATCATAGCACTGTCCTCACAGGCGTGTACAGTAGGCACTAGGCATGATGGATGCATCACTTCATCTGCCTCTCTTCTTACCCTGATGCACCATCACTCTGGACCAGGGTCCATCTGGACTCATCAGACCAGTTTTAATGATGCGTTGGACAGTTCTGAACCCAGTTTCTGCACCTCCTTAGATGTTTTCTCTGCTTGATGCCAAAGGTCTGACCCTTCTCATACACACTAACATCTTTTCCACCACCGGATGTGTCTTTCCACATGATAAACTCGATATCAGTCACTCAGCACCCCATTTGGTCACTGGTGCCCCTTACACTCCTCATCATTGTGATCTGTACCATTGTAACTGGCCATCACTCCATTCCTGCAGGATGTTACATCAGTATCACTTCATGTACACAACAATCATCGGTAGAACCGTCATATCTTCTCTCATTACTCATCACTTCCAACAACCAGTACCATTTACATTCCAGTAACTTCATCTCTACGGTTATTCCCAAAGCTCACACCTCCTTTGGCCGCTCCTCATTCCAGTTTGCTGCTTTCAGCGACTGGAATGAGCTGCAGAAACCACTGAAGCTAACCACCTACATTCCATTATCTACCTTCAATAATTCATGGTGGTCAATAGTTTCTGATCAATGTTCCTGCTTCTGAGTATTAAAGTGTTTAGTCTGTTCTGATAGCTTGTACGTACATGTTATATATGAGAACAGTCCTTTGTCTTTATGTCTGACTGTTTATCTTTCTTTGGTGTAAAGCTAACTATGTTGCTGCTGCCTCTTGGCCAGATCCTCAATATAAATGAGAATGACTTCTCTATCAACTCATCTGGATAAATACAATTTCAAAATAAACAAACATGTTTTTTTATTGGTTGGGTCAAATGACTTGTTGCATCTGAAAGATAATCGCCCATGCAATAATTATCCAATAGGTGGCTCGTATCTGTCTGCTTAGGTAAATCCAGGTGGAGATGTTTTTTGTTGAGCAGCGTATACTATACTATACTGTACTGTACTGTACTGTACTGTACTATACTATACTATACTATACTATACTATACTATACTACACTACACTACACTACACTACACTACACTACACTACACTATACTATACTATGCCACTGCCACTTAGGATTGACTGAATAGTGTTTGTTGTTAGCCTCAAGGGCAACCTGCTGGCTTCAATATCACCTGTAAGTCGCTTTGGACAAAAGCTAAATACATAAACGTAAACTATGCTATACTAGTGGAAAGGCCATAGAACCGTGTGGAGCTGAGTAGTAGTACTAATCTAGTGAGGCAGGATGAAAATGGTTACATGCTGAGAGTTATTTTCCTTTCTCCTTGCAGATGGTCCTCTGGACCTGCCTCTTTTCCAGCTCATCCCCTCCCAGAGACAACTTGTTTTTCGTGGTGACCGGCTCCCTCTGCAGTGCACGGCCTCCTACCTTGACTCGTCAGTAGAGCTGCGATGGCATCACAACGGCCATCCTGTGGCCACGCAGGAAGACATGAGCATCTTTGTGGAGGAGACCCTGCTGCATGACTGCTGTCTGCTCACCAGGTACCTTCAGAGGAGACGTGGTGGAAGCTGATCAGCTGATGACTGAGCTGTTGTCACTATGATTTAAATTTGCAAGCAGATTGTTTATAATGTATATCAGCATAAAGACATTTGCACCAGCAAATCATAAGTCTGGTAACAAACACAGATGATATTGATGAATCCACACAGAACGACAGTTTCTTCTCATTTTCCATCTGCTGGGAATCCCTGAATTACTGGTGGTTACTGGTTCCCTTGATAAGGATCTGAAAGGACAAGACTAAATTGGCTTGGTAGTGCTCCAACTCCTCAGAGCCATCTACAGCTCCTCTCCAGAGATTGGCTGTCTAGCCACCACCAGTGCTAGGAGGAACAGATGCTGAATCATATTTGTAATGATAAAGCCTGACACCAACACCAGAGTTTGCACCTTTTGTTAGTGAGACGTTGTTTTTGGAGCGATTTGCAATGTGTGCGCGCGCGCGCGTGTGTGTGTGTGTGTGTGTGTGTGTGTGTGTGTGTGTGTACTTGAAGTTTTAACTTTAACCTGTACTCTGTGGACATGTTTACACTGTGGGGACATTTTGCTGGTCCACACAATGCTAAGCACCCTAAACTTGTAAGTCGCTTTGGACAAAAGCGACTGCTTAATACATAAACATAAACATAAACATAAAAGTTGGGTTTAGAGGTTTGGTATGAAATAACGTTTAGTTTAGGTTAGTATAGGTTAGGGTTAGAGCCCTGCGCGAGACTGTTTTCTTCATCCTGCTCCCGCTGAATTTCTAACCATTACCGCCCGCAACCGCAAAACTCTGAGAAATGATTACGTCACAATAAGATATGCATTGAGTTTGTGTCCTCTCTGGTCCTGGAGAAAACATGTCATTTTATATACAGAAACCACATGAATCTTTGTTTCGTTTCTCAGGCCTGCACGTCTTTTGGCACATTGGTCAGGATTAGGGTTGTCACGGTAACCGGTGTAGCGGTAAACCCCGGTAAAAAAGTTGACAATAAAAATAACCGTCTTGTCTTTTAAAAACTATATTATCTCGGTGGGTTTACCGTGGCTGCGGTGTAGGCGCGGTGACCCTTACCAGCCACCGTATCATCTGCAGAATTTGCCGGCGGCACATGCGCACTTTGTTGTTTACAACCAAAACTTTCTTGAAGCTATAGCTGAAATAATGGCCAAAGGAGGAGACGGCAGCGCTCAGGAGGACATTTTTATCCCTCAAAGAAGACAAAGTGGGAAGTACGGGCATCTTTTGGATATTTGAAGAATGCCGAGGGAGTTGATAGAAGACGGACGGCTATCCTGTTTGCAGCACGTGCAGAAAAAGTGTCTGTGAAAGGCAGCAACGCTTCAAATCTCATGACACATCTGCGTGACCCTCACCCACAACTCTACAGTCAACGCAAGGCAAGCTAACGTTAGCGTTTTAGCTCAAATGCGTGATCCGAGGATTTGGGTTGAGGGAGAATGCAACGAGTCGCTATATAAAGCAGCCGCAGCGCCGCTACCTGCATATAAACCGTGTCACGGACACCCCCATGTTGAAATGACGCTATGCATTACGGGGCTCCCAGGGGCAGATAAGAGTTGGTCTCTCTCCGAGAATAATTATGAATTTAACAATGATTACTGCCTGATGACATTTTCCCACATCTGCAAAGCTCACTGAAAGGACACAAACCGAGGACAATATTTTCCTGATATAGGGTTTATTACTCAAGTAAGGGTAAAAAAGTATCTGATTAGAAGGCTACTTGAGTACTGAGTATCATCTGATCTAATATTTTTAAAATGATGACATCAAACAGACAAAAAATAAGAAGTTATGGGCAAATATTGGTATTTTAAAGACTAGAGGGGAAAAATTTAAACAAATAAACAACATCATTACAAAATAACACATTTTTGGCAAATTTTAGACACAAACTGAGGACAATATTTTCCTGATAAACTGGGTTTATTTAGTTTTCTGAAAATGTAACATTTTTAATATGTCGATAATACCGAAAACCGTGATAATTTTGGTCACAATAACCGTGAGGTTAAATTTTCACACTGTGACAACCCTAGTCAAGATTGACGCACTTTGTTGTCATTAACCCTTTAACGCCACCGGTGACGCCTCGGCGCATGTGATTTCAAATTACTCCTCGCTACTTAAATGATATAATTCATTAATAAATGATATAATTCATTAATAAATGATATAATTCATTAATAAACATATACAGGTTGATGGAGGTCGCTTTTCTAACTGAGACCTGAATGAGAAATATTTACACAGTCTGCACATAGACAACACAGCACAGTAACTTTTAATAACTTCGTTTTTATATCTATCTATCTATCTATCTATCTATCTATCTATCTATCTATCTATCTATCTATCTATCTATCTATCTATCTATCTATCATCTATCTATCTATCTATCTATCTATCTATCTATCTATCTATCTATCTATCTATCTATCTATCTATCTATCTATCTATCATCTATCTATCTATCTATCTATCTATCTATCTATCTATCTATCTATCTATCTATCTATCTATCTATCTATCTATCTATCTATCTATCTATCTATTCAAGTTTCAATTCAATTCAAGTTTATTTATATAGCGCCAAATCACGACAAGAGTCGTCTCAAGGCACTTCACATAATAAACATTCCAATTCACAGTTCATTAAGCCAATCAGAAATAATGTTTCCTATATAAGGAACCCAGCAAATTGCATCAAGTCACTGACGAGTGTCAGTGACTATACAGCAATCCTCATACTAAGCAAGCATGCAGCGACAGTGGAGAGGAAAACTCCCTTTTAACAGGAAGAAACCTCCAGAGAATCCTGGCTCAGTATAAGCAGCCATCCACCACGACTCAATGGGGATCGAGAAGACGGAGCAGGCACACGCACGCACACACGCGCACGCGCGCGCACACACACACACACACACAAGTAATGTGTCTATAGTTATATTGTGATGTCTTAGTAAATATTGTATTTGGTGAAAGATAAACTTTATTGTATTTATCCTAGTGGATCTATGATTAAACGGATAAACTAGTATTAGCACATCAAAAGTCAATGAAAACAAAAAGTTATTATCAGGAGAGAGAGAATGTATTAGTGGTTAGCAGCAGTGTGCTAGTCGATGGCCCCCTCCATGAGACCACCACAGCTCAGCAGAACGTCATTGTAGCTTCTTCTGGGGAGAAAAACACTTACAGAGAAAATAAAGTTAACAGCTGAAATTGCACAAAATAGTACAGTTAAAGAGCAGACTGTAGAATAAAGCAGTAGAGTGTGAAAAGTGGTCAGTGTGTCCTCCAGCAGTCTAAGCCTATAGCAGCATAACTACAGAGATAACTCAGGATAACCTATCCTATTTAGATGTCTATCTATCTATCTATCTATCTATCTATCTATCTATCTATCTATCTATCTATCTATCTATCTATCTATCTATCATCTATCTATCTATCTATCTATCTATCTATCTATCTATCTATCTATCTATCTATCATCTATCTATCTATCTATCTATCTATCTATCTATCTATCTATCTATCTATCTATCTATCTATCTATCTATCTATCTATCTATCTATCTATCTATCTATCTATCTATCTATCTATCATCTATCTATCTATCTATCTATCTATCTATCTATCTATCTATCTATCTATCTATCTATCTATCTATCTATCTATCTATCTATCTATATGTATATATATATATGTATATATATACATATATATATATATACATACATATATACATATATATATATATATATATACATATATATATATATATATATATATATATATATATATATATATATATATATATATATATATACATATACATGTATATATATATATATATATATATATATATATATATATATATATATATATATATATATATATATATATATATAACATTAACACCATCACATGGAACATAAAATAACATATAAACAGCAGATTTAAAGTTTTAGCAGTACGTTCTGTTTGGAAAAGAAAAATAAATAAAATCATTCAAACTTTGGCAGCCGCTCAGTAACACAGGCACCTGATTAATACATGGCAACAGATTGAGTGGCTCAAATAACAATAATAAATAACAATGATAACTTATAAAAACAAATAAATAAAATTTACTAATTAATCACTTGGTTGGAATATTGTTGTTGTAATGTCCCAAAGGGTCAATTGTTCACCATCTACATTGATCAACATAATAACCTTTCATCTACAGAAATAAATCCACTTTCTGTTTGGCCTTCCAGAACCAGAAGGTTCTGTTCAGCGTGTGTTTACATACAGAAGACAAAACATCCAGACACACACATTCTCTCCCAAGGTTCTTGCACTCTCTGTGAACGCCAGGCGTCAACATTCTTCACTCTGAATAACCCCCAAATTCCACTACCTCCGCTCCGCTCCGCTCCGGTCCGCCCCCGCCTTCCGCAGCCGCTCGCTTCCGAACTCAATTTTACTGGTACCCGCTCTACAACGGCTCCGCTCCGGTGCGGAGACCTGAGGGGGGCAAACAAGCATGCGCGGGATTTTCGAGATCTTGCGATACAGTCCGAGCAATAAACGCGGAAGTTAGATCCAAACACCCGTTGTGTGGGAGAAGCATCGACATGAGCTGTTTAATCTGCCCATCATTGTGTTGAGAGATCAGCAGTGTTTGGATCAACAAAGTGTGACTACTTTGATAGTGGCAACTGTATTTATGGCTTATTTTTGTGCATTTAAACTTCAGCCGCCATTGATAGTTGTTAAAAGTTGTTAAACATGTGCATATGAAACAAAAAACGCCTTTTGTTTAGCGATTTATTGTGAAAAACGGAAGATGTGCTTGCTCCTTTTCCTGTTGGGCCGTTGTGATTTCTGTCCATTTACTGCGGAGGTGCTCCGGCGTCCGGCAAAAATAGGATCGATTCTATTTTTGCCGGACGCCGGAACAGAGGGCGCCGCAC